TAGAGTGCTGGGCTTAAAGGCCTGTGCCACTAAACTAGGCTTTAAGCTTTTCTTTAGTTCCTTGTCACAAATTGGAAATTTATCTGGGTGGGATCTTGCCCTGAGGTCACCACTCTGTTTATTTGATTTCTTAAATTATTTATCTCCTTGGACACAGGATTTAGCTCTGTTTCACTTCGTTGTGCTCCTTTTCTCAATCTGTCTGCACATGCTGTATTTTTATTTGTTCAGCTTGCTCCTTTTCGTTATATGTCTTCATTAGAGTTACCACCAATAACCACAGTACAGAGTCTATACTAGGCAGTTTTGAGATTTCCTATGGCCTCAGGCAGAATTTTTGGAGAAGGGCAAATGATAGCCACAATCTGAAGCATTAATTTAATTAATTTTTATCAATAAAAATCGGAAGTCATATATTGGGGTAAGAACCTGAATGATCAGTGAACAGGGAGCAGCCACCAGTTGCTTCCTACCTCTCTCTATGGGGCACCTGTCCAAAAGGGCCTAGATTCTCTCTAATCCCGGTTTACTACTTCCTGTCTAAGCTAGTGGCTAGCCCTGCCCTCAGACTCCAAGCAAACTTTATTTGTTAGAGCACAATCAAAATACCACACAACATTCTTCACCAAAATATCACAAGAATGACCTCTAGGGAACATATTAACATTCTTCTGTGAAATCTCTAGATTCCCACAGTTCAAATCATTATCAACACTACTGTGTTGCGTGCTCCTGCTAGTATGACCCATTAAGCAGTGCTTCAAAGCATCCCACTGCTTTCCTAACCACAGTACCAGAGTCCAAATTCTTCCAAACAAAAACATGGTCTTTAGTACCAACTATTGTCTTAACTAGGATTTCTATTGTTATGAAGTGACACCATGACCGTGGCAGCTCTTACAAAGGAAAGCATTTAATGGAGGAGGTGGCTTACAGTTCTGAGGTTCAGTTTATTATCATCATGGCAGGGAGCATGGTGGACCATGGCAGCATGCAGGCAGACATGGTGCTGGAGAAGTGGCTGTGAGTCCTGCATCTTGAAGGTAACAAGAAATGCTTTGAATGTCACACTGAGTGAAGCTTGAGCAAAAGGCACCTGAAAGCCTGCCCCCATAGTGACACACTTCCTCCAACAAAGTCATACCCACTCAGGCAAAGTCACACCTCCCAATAGTGCCACTCCCTACTAGATTATGGAGGCCAGTTACATTCAAACTACGTAAGTGCAGGGATATATGGCTGCCCTGAGAGGCCATCAGATCTCCGGTAAGTGGAGTTGCAGGCTTTCACAAGTGCTGAGAACTAACTTCAGTCCTCTAACAGGGCAGTGAGTGTTCTCCAGCCATGGAGACATTCTATTTTGTAGGAGAATTTTGAGAAAGCTAGAGATAAGATTTGGGGAAGTCCATTAGGTTTCTGGTGTTGAAGATGCAGACAACTGGTGAAATTATGATCAGTAATGATACACATCAGGAGTTTTACATTTTCAGTGTCAAGAACAAGCACATGGAAGTGGACAAGGTGTATCGAAGAGAAATATTTGGTGATTTTAACGCCAGAAAGCCAAGAGATAGGGTCTTAATCACAATCACAATTTGAAGACAGCAAAAATAGGTAAAAGGGATGGTTTGGAGGGAAGAACGGGAAAGGGGAATGACGTAATTATATTAGAATCTCAGAAGATAAAACAAATAATACCATTTAAAATGTACAGTGGAGAACGATCCAGAACATTAAAGTACAAAGGTTTAGAAAAACAAATTTGCATTGTTGTTTAGCAGGACAGCGATCACGTCTAGTATAGTAATTTCAGCTGCATGCTATTAAGAATTAACTTGCGAAAAGGTAAGGGCAACAGTGGATTGAAAAGGGAGACAATTGTAAGCAGCTGAGATTTTCAAAAAGTTTGAAGAAACTGTGTGAGTACAAGTGGATCTCAATATTTTGCCTTTATCAGAATCATCTATAGGTTTTGTTAAAACTCAAATTTCTGGGCCTCATCTTTTAGAGATTCTGTTTTAGTAGATCTGGAGTATGGGTAAACAGTTTATATTTGTGTCAAACACCCAGATGAAACCGATGCCAACGGGCCTGGGAACAACACTGAGATTTATTGCTTAAGGTTTAGAAACTGTTTTTGTTTTCTTTTATTCAAAGTCTTGTGATTTCTTTTAATAATAAAAAGAGGAAGAAGAAGCAGAGAGGGATACACTGCAGATACAAAAGAGACTAGACTAGGGAATAAAATTGATTTGTGTCCTGAGGGATACAAAAGGGTCAAAAATGTCAAGGAAGGTAGTGGAGGACATCTTATATTTTCTGAGGTACACAGAGAGTATGGGTAGATCAGAGACATGAAGGAAAAAACTGTTTCAGAAGAGGGAAGGGAGGCTTGAAAACCTCTCAATTTCTTTGTGGTAAAGGCCTACAGAAGTGGAAAGCAGCAACTCATGGGAGTAGAAGTAACTGTGGCTTGTAAAGTTTGGAGTGGATGCTCCAGGGAATTCTACCGGGAGTCAGCAAAATGAATAAAACCACATTTAGTACTGGTAGGATTCAAAATGCAGTTCAAATGGCTTCAATCTGAATAGTCAAAAAAAAGTTTTAAAGGGAAAAATACACATTGTGAAGTGTAAATGGAATTTAAATTTAAAGAGTAAATTTAAATTTAAATTAAATCTTTTAATATGTGATACTCTATACTACACTATTACTCCTTTAATCTAATATATCCTATATTACACTATCTAGGTGTAATAGACAGTGTAATATAGGATATATTAGATTAAAGGATGGAAAAATGCCTGTTTTTTATAAATGTATTTATTTTACATCCCAACATCAGTTTCCCTTTCCTTCTCTCCTCTCAGTTCTTTCCCCAACCCCTCTCTGTTTCCACACCCAATCTACTCCTTTGTTTCTGCTCAGGAAAAGGAAGGTCTCCCATGAATATCAACACAGCATATTTTATGAGTACTTTAAAAGTTCACCTTTTTGTATTTCAGTTAGAAAATAATCATTTTTCTTTTAAGCTTCTCATTTTTAGCAAGTTAATTTTTTTTGGTTTTGACAAATTCTTTTCTTTATTTTAAAAAAGAACTTATTTACTTTTATTTCATGTGCATTGGAGTTTTGCCTTCATGTATGTCTGCATGAGGATGTTGGATCCTCTAGAACTGGAGTTGAAGACAGCTATGAGCTGCAATGTGGACGCTGGGAATTGGGTCTTTTGGAAGAGCAGCCAGTGCTCTTAACTGCTGAGCTATCTCTCCAGTCCCAACAAATTCCTTTTGTTCCAATGACCCGTTTTTTTCCACCTTTGCCTTCCTTAGAATTCATCTTCAATACAATCTTGTAATTGAAAGAGGAAAAGGGGCACAGTATAGATAATCATTATGCAGCCAGTTTCCTGGGAATAGATAGTATACGTGTGGGGGGGGGCGGTAACAGCTACAGAGATTCTCTGTGGGTTTCACATAACTTCATTACCTTGGAATGTGCTTAAATATCTGTTCTAAAAACCAGTCCCTTCAAATAGTTCTGGATATTTTGCAGTTCTATTCAAGCTCGTGTGTGTGTGTGTGTGTGTGTGTGTGTGTGTGTGTGTGTGTAATATAGTTGCAACCATATAACAGGGAACTGCTTGACCTTAGGATCATCAGGGTATTTAGAGTTTTCTCAAATCAAACTTTTTATTAACTTTATTCTCCTGGAAATTTTTTATTGCAACATCACCAGAGGTAAGTTGCTTCACCACATCTTTTTAATAGATATTCTGTTAAATCGCCTCTTGCACAGATATGATTTTTTAAAGGGAACAATTAATAAATCCTAATATGTCAATGCTGTTATATTGTCTTTGCAAATCACTACATATTGTTTAAGCCTTTGTTTGCCTCTGCTCTATTTCTCAATGCCCTCATATCTTCTCATTTCCCTTCCAAGACTGTAGCAAGTGAGCAAAAACAATTTCATGCTTTTAAAATGATTTGTGATTGAATGTATTCTAAACTATTATGTCAGAGTTGCTTATTCCTGTATTCCAAAAGCCACTATCATCACTATTTCTTCACATTTTGACCTTATTCAATTTGAAATAGAACACTCTGAAGAGATTCAAAAGGACATTTGTAATACAAGCTGCCTACCTAGGGCATTTTTGACTTAGGAAGTGAGGAAAAGGAACACACCCACTCCCCTTCTTTGATACTGCTAAGTACAACTAGCATTAATAAAACTCAGCAAGTTTCTAAAAGTATTTATGTTCTGGAAGTGTATCAGGGAAGTTATTTAGCTATGTTGGTGGTAGCTTTTGTAAACAAATGAAGCCTGAATTTAACAGCAGCTTCTCCAGGAGAGGATGGCAAAGTGAATACCTACCACTTCAATCAAACTTTGACAAGGAATTAAATCCACTTGGACAAGGTTACTTAACCTTGATAAGTAGTATGGAAATGATAATGCTTTTCCTCAGGTATGATCCCTACTCAGACATTTTGTTCCCTGTGTATTCTTGGAGTAAGTGCTGGGCATTTGATAGGTAGGGGAAGAAGAGCTACCATTTAGGATATAGAGCCTTTGGGATGCCTGGGCCAGTCCTTGGTCTTCTGACCCTGTCAGTGAGGGAGAAAAACGCTATCTATAAACTATACACAGTTTTGAGTCATTATGTAACGTTATGGCAAGAGGATTTCAAGACTAAGGTATGGCGTGAGCGTGTGCCTGTTCTGCCTGGTCAGACAAACACACACACACACACATACACACACACACACACACACACACACACACGCTGGGGGCACACACGTCCTGGGCACATACGCGCGCGCGCGCACACGCACGCACACACACAAGCACAAAACAAAAACAGAACCCTCGTCTGCTTTGGGACAGTGGCGGAAGTGCTGTAAAACAATCTTCCCCTGTGCCACAGAGGCTCCCCACCGCGCTTCCTGAACGCCCTCGAGTAGTAGCCGGGCAACTCTGGTGAGAGTGCGAGAACTCTCGGGAGCGCTCCTGTGTGCGCTGCATAAGAAAGAAATTCCAGTCAGTGAGCTAGGCGGCTGGGAGGAAGGCTGGGACGCTCGCTGGTGAATTCACCGGACTCTTGGGGACGTTCAGCGGAGCCATCTCTTCGGTCCCCTGAGTTTGGGAGAAATGTGCACGTGGAATTAGAGCTAAGTCACTGGCCTCCACTGAACCCGGTGCGGGATGGCTGGGGGTATGGGGTGAAGGAGCCCCGAGTCCCGCTTGGGGCCCCAACAATCCTCCACTTCTGAAAAGAATGGTTGGCAGCCTAGTCTCCCTCCAAGACCTCTCTGCATGACAATCGGACTCTGCCGGCCAGGCGCCTGGCGAAGGCAAGACACCGCCTCCTTCTCGCGCTCCACCTCCATTCACCGAAAGCCCCTCACCGCCTCAGGTAGACAGAGGCTGGCGGGGGGAGTCTCCACCCCTCGCCGGCGGCAGCCATTCGGCGCACGCGGGCGCTGAGGGGGTGGGGCCCATTGGCTGGGGGGCGCTGCCAGTCTCGGGAGGGGGTGTGGTGGGGGGTGGGCTCTAGGGCCGCCGCGGGTCGAGGCTGCTCACTGTGCGTGGAGTGCTGGATGAGCTGGAGCGGCCGCCAGCCTGCTTCAGACTTGCAAACTGTTCTGAGAGTGGGAACGCCTGAGAAAGAGAGGGAGAGAGAGAGAGAGAGAGAGAGAGAGATACCGATTCAGTGGAGTGAGTGCGAGGGGACCTAGAGGACTCAGGGCGAGAAAGAGAGGTCCCTAAGAGCCAGGCTCCAGACAGAGTGACCATGGCTGTCTCTGCACCTCCGGTGATCTCTGCAACTTCCAGCAGCGCCGGCGTCCCGGGGGGGTTTATTCCGGACTGAACCTCTGTATTCGTCCGCAGGAGAGCCCCCGCGTCTAACCCCTAATCTGATCAACAGTTTCATGGCCAATAACCACAGCGGCAGTGTCGGGGGTGGCGGCATTGGTGGTGGCAACAGTGGCAGCAGCAACAGCAACACGAACGAGTGCCGGATGGTCGACATGCACGGAGTGAAGGTGGCTTCATTCCTGATGGACGGCCAGGAACTGATCTGCCTGCCGCAAGTCTTTGATCTTTTCCTCAAGCACCTGGTGGGAGGGTTGCACACGGTGTACACTAAACTGAAGAGACTGGACATATCCCCCGTAGTGTGTACTGTGGAGCAAGTTCGAATCCTTCGCGGGCTGGGGGCCATCCAGCCCGGAGTGAACCGCTGCAAGCTCATCACCAGGAAAGACTTCGAAACTTTGTTCACAGATTGCACAAACGCCAGGTGAGACAATCGTTTCTTGACTCTCTCGCTTCTTACCCCTTTGCTCTCTTCTGCATGTCTTATCACCCTCAACCAACTTTGTCTATGGAGACTGAGTCCTCCTTCTTTGCACTGTTATCGGCATGGTAAAGAGAATTAGAAGGACTCACTACTTGGCAGTCCTTTCCAGGCTGTGCTCAGTGGAAGGGTTCCAGTTCGAAAGAGTCCCGCACAAACTTAAGCTGCAATCCTCCACTCAAACTTCACAGCCTTTCACCTATATCTTGCATGGCTTTTTGGCTGCTTGTGGTAGTTATTTCCTTTATTTGATTTTCTTTCCTGCTCTTTTTGTGGCCAAACGGGTCGGATAGTTTTTCTTCTGAACACAGACACCAAGGGCTTCCTTGGGGATGGGGTTGGAGGCTAGCTGAGCTGTAACCTGGGCTCCTAAGCTGGCAACTGAGAAAACAGTTTTTAGGGGATGCAGAGGGACGGAAATCTAGAATCCATCCCAGAGGGCGATTCGATCCCCATCCTGTATGTTTGTTGTGAGAGTGTATGGAATGTGTGCTGTGATGGTGGAGGTGTGTGTGTGTGTGTGTGTGTGTGTGTGTGTGTGTGTGTGTGCGCGCGCGCGCCTGTGTGCACGCGCTCTCTTGTAGAAGTGCCTTTAGTAAGGACATATGCTCATGCCTGCTGTGCAAAGCTCCCTGGAGCATGGTAAAGTAGATGAGTCCAATTTAAAAAAAAAAAACAACGGCGAGGACAGATGCCATTTTCCTGGAATCCTCCCTTTTGGGCCACCTGCAGAGGTTAATCTGGGGCATGAAATGCTGGGACTAAGACAAGGCTGGGTCTTGGTGTAGAACTTAGTAGGCTTTTTTGTTTTTGTTTTTTGAGAAGATGCACTAGTTCACCCACCCCAGACAAACCAGTTGGAAGGACCCCATTTCTCCTAAGAAAGGATTGTTTAAACAATAATAGCCAGCTTCCCAGGTCATAAGTATACCCCCTCGGTATCACAGTTAGGAAGTACATGGGAGACTAAGTGTTCATTTGCACTCCCAAGCAACTTATGTTTAATGTTTTGAGTAAAAAGGAAAAGAAACTACTTTGAGAAGTTTTGGACATTCAAAAATATAAGTTAGGCTTCTTAGTGTTTATTCCTTCTCCTACCTGGCAATATCATAGGAAATACATGAGATTAGTATACAAATGAAGAAATCACAATTCCTGGATGAAAAGGTAGCAACGAGCTTTGCTGGAAAGCAGCAATATAGTTTATCATCTTATAAAGAACTTCTGCTGAGGTCTAGTCTCACTATACGACTTTAAATGATGATGTCTCTGGGTCTGTGGACTGAAACTAAAACTTCATTGTCATGTCTGTTGTAAAATCTAAATTGCTATCTTTAGCAGAAATGTACTGATAACTTATAGGCAAACTGTTGCTTGCTAGTACGATAAATAACATAGTGCTAGAGAACCCTTTCTTGTTCCTTTGAGCAACATTCTTCTGTGTTCAGGCAACTAAACAGAAACAAGTTCATATGGAAACTCCTACCTGATTCACATGTAAGGCTTACAAACCTGGCTTCTAAGATGAACTTTTCTTAAGGGATAAGATGAACTGTTCTAAAAGTGAACAATTTCTTAATGGCTTTAAAATACAAAGGGTGAAAGCATCCTTCATGAGTTTTAAAAATAGAAATATTTTATAGAAAATAGAAATTTTCATTTTGACTACAAAGAATAGTTATTACTACTACAAAAATTAAGAGAGTTACTAGAACTTCTGATGGAGGCCATGTGATTCATTTACTGATGTGCAGATACCCTCAGGTGAAAAATAATTGCAGACAGGAAAAGCCATGTTTATCTGTTCTCTTTCTTCTTCACCCTCTCCCGTTTCCTCCTCCCGTTACTTCTCCCCCTCCCTCTCCCCCAAATGGTCATTCCTAAAGTGAAACATTTTATACAGGGATTTCTTTTCCTTTGTGAATAATTGATTCTCTCATTCTTGAGAAATATTTATGAATTTCACTCTAAAAGCAAAGAGGTTGTCATTTTATTGTAATTTTGATTGTTTCTATGAATAAGAACTTTTCCTAAATTTTAATGAGAGACACCAAAGAAGAAAATGATAAGTTACTTAGTATCTGAGACAGGTCACTCTTGGGACTCTGTTATAATGTGTTTTTGGTTACTATTTTAATCTGATTAAACTTTATTCATTATAATTTTTACAGATAACATTTTACTTGATTTTATATAAAATTGTAATAGAAAAGTATTAAATACAAAAAATATATTTGTGAGATGATGCATTGTTGTGAGATGATGCATTGTGCATTCTATTACATTTTATGTTTTGAATAATTGTCTTACAAGTATTGAAATATATAATTGTAAAAATCATGAAACATAAAGGAGATGAGGAAAACTACTAGACAGAATTACACATAACACATACATTGCATTTTTTGATAGAGAAAAAGTATAATTACTGGGAAGGACCTAATAGTAAAATAATATTAGCAATTTTTACTGATGCAAATACCCTCATGAATATGTTAATAAAATTACAAAACTTGATGTTTATGAAAAAGGTTTCATGACTGTAGCTAACGTTGTTCTCCCGATCTATTATTTTAAATGAAATCTGAAATTAGTGTTTAGGTCTACAATATTTCTGTGACTTTAATTCGGTAAAAAGAGAAGTGAGGGGTATAGATGGGCACCAGGTTAAGAATGATAGTGTAATGTAGGTGAGACACAAGGTCAGTAAGAGAGGAGAAATGCAGTGAAAGCAGAATTATGTCACAAGAAGGGGAAGATCATATAAACATAGCCAAGAAGATGAGTGATTTTCCCAATGTACACTTCCCTAAAGAGGATTGTTTATCAGCACTCGTCTTTACCTCTTTCAGCTAAAGGTGAGGGGAGGAGAGCACAAGGGAAAAAGTGCACGTCATTTGAGAGGAAACTCATTCTGATGGATGTAATTTCATAAGATACTGCTGAAGGCCTATTACTGTAATGGTGCTTTTGATAATTTTTTTTTCCTGAATGATAAGCATACTTCTCCTTCTTTGTCAAATATGTGGTGACGGGTATGTGTCCTAACTAGAATGCTTTAAATGGTGCTTTTCTCTATGTTATCTCATATAAAAATGATCATTTCAAATTTCTTATTTTCAGAAATCGTAATATATTGCCTTGAAGTAGCTTTGTGATGTGGTTCAGTGCAACTCACACATGAGTGATCAATATGTATATGTATATATAATCATTTTGATAGTACTAATAGTCGTAATAAGAACCCAACCAGCATCATTTGTTTTAGTCAGTTACTGAAACATTAAAAGTTGTCTTCTCAGAAAAGTTATGAAATTATGTGCACCTCAACTATTAGAGAATAGTACAACAAAATTCCTGATCATTTATTATTCTATTAGACAAGTTGAGCTTTATATCATTGCAATGATGCCTTTCAAAAGGACTGTACAGCAATTGTCTTCATGTTCTTTTACTTAAAACTTAATAATGAAGACATTATTTTGATGATTGTTAAGATAATGATGACCCAAAGATCTGCAATCATTGAAAATATCTTCTTTTAGATTTTGAAGGCATTTTTTGTTTCATTGTTTTACAGGAAAACTTGGAGATTTTAATGCCAGAGATGGGCAAATTCAGACAGCATATGTCTAAGATCTTCACCCTTTGTGTACTGAATCTCCCTACTGCATTGTCCCAAGTACATGAGCAGTCATACACTAAATGACAAATTGGTCTTACTAAATATGCAAATAGACCAACACATTTCAGTGCTATCTCTTTTAACCTACTTGCCCACATAAAAGTAACATTGTCATTTTCAGGATCAGCATTTTGTTTCATTTGGGGAGCAATTAATTAAATGTTATTCAGTCACAAGTATAGTTAAATAGATGACTGTAGAAACGAGAGTGTGATTAAGAAAACCTTGTAATAATTATTTGGAGACATTATTTGACATGATTCAAACACAAATTTGTTTTTACCATTAAAATTCACAGTGGTTCACTTATATTTTATTTGACAGTATATAAACAGAACGTATGGGTGTTTTGATGTTGGAATAACTGTGTGTGAATTTAATGGCACTTATACTATTTAAACTATTTTCAAATACTAGAAAGATGGTTATTGTAAGCACTCAATGAGTTTGGCTTTGCATTCAAGCTTGAGGCATGCGTTAGAGTTCACGATCCATACAGAGTAACCCAGTTTGCTGTAAAACTGTTGCTTCGCATTTACAGTACAATTAAGCTTCATCAAGGCTTTAAGGAGATTGTATAACTTTTTGGATTGGTACTTGGTATTGTAGACATTTTCACAGATAATAAAAATGTTATAGAAATGAATCTGGGCAATGAATGCATATGTGTCTCTTATTTCATAGAATAGTGATGAGCTAGTCATTGTCTCTTAAAATCAGCCAGATAACCAACAATCCTTAGTCTTGTATTTAAAGAATGGTACTAATAGTACAATTATAGCAATGCAGTCATATGTCAGTGTACAAACTTTAATGTTTGCCTTCATTTTAAGTGAACATTTCTGCCTATTTTTTAAAAAAAATTAGCTGGATACTCTAGTTATTGACTGACTGTTCATGTTTAGCTCAAATAATTATACCTCAGATGATGCATGTGATGGAATAGTACATATATGAAGTTTTACATGTGATATTATTCTCAATGCCCACACAGTATATGAATGTCAATAGATAGAATGTGATTCTCTTGTATATACTTTTATGTAAGAAATTCCTAATACTTGAAGTAGAACTCATGAAATTTAAATTATTTGATGCTACCTTAAGTTATCTTATTTTGTCTGGATGCTTTAAAAACGCTTCTTGTAGATGAGTATAATTGTGATAACCCTAATCACAATACATTTCAGATCTCCAGTGGCATTTTGTCTTGTTTCCAAAGATACATTGGTTTGGGTTTATCCACTTTGTATATTTCAAAT